ATCACAAACATTAGCTTATATGAGTTAGATATATTATGTAAACAATATTTATTTAAAATTGTGTGTATAATTCATGTATAATAAATAGTATAAAAAAATACATCATAGTAAATATACAAAAATGTTTAACTAACTAACAAACGACATCTAAAGTTTAAGGTATAACGTACAATAGCTCAAGGGGAAAACGCCAACCTGAATTTCATTTCGGTTTTCGTCCAAAACATGCTACTTTTCATCGACTTCAAAGAGCAGTAGATCTTATTGCTACCTCCCTCGAAACCAGAAAATACTGCTCAGCATTATTCCTTGACGATTCGCAGGCGTTTGACACGGTCTGACACACTGGCTTACTATATAAATTTAAACAAATATTTCCTGCGCCTTAATATCTTCTACGCAAATCATATCTTGAAAACAGGTCTTTCAGAGTCAAACTTGATTCTGCTTTATCCGATTAAAATGCAAAATGCAATGCCATCCAAACCGACTTGTCACCCATCTGCACTCAAAAACACTTCCGGGTAATCCAAACAGACGCCTCAAAGTAGGCCAAGAGACCTACTCAATGTAAATTAATTAAGGAAGAGGTTCTATATAGGCATTATTTAAGTAATAAATGGTTTTAATCATTTTCGACCACGTCAATTTCTTTTCCCGTTTTTTTGTATAAGCCTCAAGGCACTATTTTTATTTAATACAATTTTTTGTATAAAAAAAGCCATTTTGTTTCTACAAGAAATCAATCTAGACCTAAAAGCCTGACAAAATTACGACTACTTACAATTCAAATAATTGGATTTTAGTTCTGTACAAATATTTGAGCTCATCGGCCAAGTTTACTTTAAGCGTCCCATTTTTGCCTTTTTTCTTTTGGTATATGGACAAAAACTTGCGTACCAAAAACTCTTAAATGATTAAATTTTTGGTGTATGATTTCAATATAACTCATGTGGCGTTTTATCTTTAATTGAACTCGTACCTGTTTAGTTTAGTGTATACCACTGTGTTGACACTTTCTGCCCATAATGACACATCCAAATTATTGGAATGAATTAATGTCCTTGCACGCTCGACGATAGTACAGTTGTTCCACCCGTCCGTTTTGTTCCAATTGCCAACACTTCTCCGGTGTTGTATCCCAAATGTCTGTAATATAGATGTGACATCTTTATACCTTAAGCATCAAAGCGTAATTTGAAAGTGATTTTATCCGAGAGTCCTAGTAAAGTAGAATATAGGCATAACGGAATCAAAGCAACGAGGCGACGGAGAGGTCACAGGTCTACACTCTACAGGAATTGTTCTAAATAAAAGTGAATAACTCACTTTCAAATAAACGCTTCGATGCTTCTATTTTGTAATTTTATCGGTCATTTCAAAAACGACACAAGTCACAAATTTGAAATTTTACACTAGCCACAAAAACTTCATAAATAGTTTTTGCAGTAATTCTAGTTTCTTGTACTCAACATTTATATAAGAAGTGAGTCTGACAAATTTAGTTTTCACACAGAATACGTAAATAAGTATATAATATTAAATTTGACAAATAGACATTTTTGAAAAATCGGTGACCTAAGTCGTTTTTGAAATGACCGATTCAATTTAATATTTTCTGACTTTACTGGCTTACACCATGCTTGGTTTGAATTGTACTGGCTTGAAAATACTAACTACCGATTTGCATCGAAGCGTTTTTTCGAAAATGATATTATCACTTTCAGATTACAAAATTCCTGTAAACCTGTGACCTCCCCGTACCAACTATGCCCCGATCCAACTATGTTCCGTCCCCACTATGCCCCGACCTCACTGTACCGGTTTTTTTAAATTTTATATTAATTAATTTATATGTTCAATACCAAAAATAATATTTTCTATTAAAAAATGTTTACTAGAAATTGTTTTTTGTAGTAGTAACCTAATCAAGTACATACTAGTTGTTATGAAATTAAGCTGTATAAATGTTTAACATTATTTTCAAATTTGTTTAAGATTTGTTGTTGGTATAACTTATGGGGTGTAATAAACCCTAACACACTAAGGACGGGAATAAATAGCAACACACTAACGAAGGAGGGTTAAGACGTATTACGCTGGCCCGACACCGTGCGACTTCCACATACCGGGCACCCCCTTTTGGAACCTGTGACCTCCCCAAAAATACTTTACAGTGAAGGGCTGTGAACGTGCCTAGCGTAGCCGGTTATAGTACTCGGAATCTATCTCAAAGCAACGGGGGTCTAGCGGCGGAGCCCTACTTTGTGTCTATATAACCAAAACCGATCAATGCGTTCATGTACCACAATTGCCTATACATAACGCCGTTCAGAGATGAGAGAACAGGTAATAATTTTAAAGAAGTATTAAGTTTTAAGGAAATACTCCCCTCGTAACAGACGATCGTTTACGGGAGAGTGTAAATTTGACCAAATTTGATATATTTACTTATTTACATTACTATGACGTGGGGCTTAGAATTCTGTTGTTGTAAATATTCAGTTGCAAAACTGTATTTCTCATATTGACATAAAGAGTACAAAACCACTATCTTCGACTACAGAAAAAATATTATATTTCGTATAAGATATTTCCTGGGCCACCTGGGGTACATACATAAAATTTAGTGTGCATTTCAATTTTATTTTTATTTGTAAGGTTTATTATTTTTTCTCTGTTTCTTATAAGGCCCGTTTTTGATTAAGCTATTAGAAAATTAGTTTTTTTAATTTTCATTAGAAAATATAAATACTCATAATAATGTTTAAAGCAATAATAAACAATCGGCCTTTTATCCCGCATAGAGATGATTTTTACGATGTACAAAAGAAAGTTTGGAAATCGTTTTTGTAGACACTTTCTTTACAATGCTATTTTATTTTAATATATATTAAACATTATATTTATTTTGTACTATACCTTAATTCAGAGCTTAAACTATTCTCTTTTCAGTTATTGATTTTGAAATCACTCTTAAAATTAATGTTTTCATTTCACGTTTGTGTATGCCTTTTTTATTAAAACAAAAATCGTACTTATTTGTGGGATAAGATTTTTTGTGTTTATTCACTTCTATTTCGATAAGAAATATTTGACATGGGTGTTAACTTCCACCCGGTGTGGTTTAGTGAGAAATAAGTATACGAGGCATGTTCAGAATGTAAAGTTTCCACATTTTTAAAAATTAAATTGTTTTATTTTCCAAGAAATAAATGACAGGTTATTTTTACATGTATATTCAACTATTTTTTGACGTAGCCGCTGTTGCGTTGAATATACTTTTCGTACCGATACAGGAGCTTGTGTATTCCCTCCTTGAAGAACTTCCCTTTACGTTTTCCGGTCCATTACCTTAGTAGCCTTACTTGTATCATCACCACGACTAGGAAATGGTCTGAGTGGGATCCCTCGCCTCTGTAGCTTCTTACGTTTTGGATCCACTGCTTTATTTTATTGTCAGTTATCACATGGTCAATCTGGTTCTTAATGGCTCCGTTTAGCGACACGCATGTTAGCTTGTATATGTTTTTGTGTGGACATAATGTGCTTCTGACCAGCATATTTTTAGACATTGCAAACGTAATAAGCCTTGTCCCGTTGTCATTGGATATTTGATGTAAACTTTCATGCCGACTTTTGCATTGAAGTTCCCCATCATAATTTTTGGTATTCTTTTCGGTATACACTCATATATCCTGTCACATATAAACATTCTACAGTGAGTTACACTGTAGAATGTTTTGTAATTTTGTAACATGAGTTACATCAAGTTAACATTTAGCGTATAATTGTAAACATGTTTTACTAAATAATTGTTAACAACATTTTATAGTACAAAACAGTAATTTTCACTTAATAACTGTACATGTATTTCTGTTAAAAAAAAAAGTAAACGAATAAACTTCTCAACTGTCATTGCGAATACAAAAAACAAAAATAACATAGACAGATGAAGGAACATAAGTTGGGTCGCAGAGGATACAGTACTGCTGTTACAATTATGGTGGACGAGTTTACCTTAGGTAAATTGTATAACGTAAGTATACATCGGCGCGTTATTATAAATAGTGAATGGTTTAAATTCAAAGTGATTGGCAACGTCAACTGATGATATGCCGTTAAACATAGACTAATGGAAAACCGCAGTATTAAATTGTTAAAAAAATCTTTATTTCTATATAACATATATATAACACAATTATAATACATCCATTATACTATAGAAATAATTTTTTAATTTAGGAATACAACAATTTACGTTAAGTTAATTTCCGGCAGTTCTTCTTGTTTCATGAAACCTAATGCTCCGTAGTAATTAGTGATGACCTTGTTTATGAGATTTTCAATTTCTAATTGAGCGTCTTTAACGGGCTGAATGATACTGACCCGAGGCACACTTGAAGTCTGAGGTTCACTTGTGTTTGCGGTTTGTAGTATTACGCAGTTATCGTTTGTGAATTGAATCAATTTGTTTACAATATGATCATTGATATATTTTTCCAATTTACTGGGAATTCTCGAAGTGAACGAATTGTATTTATTACGGTTTTCGCCGTTGTAATGTTTTAAAGTTTTCTTGACGTTGCGGATTAGAAAGATACTTTTTTTTATGAGCTCTATATTTGAATCTGACTGGCACTCACGTAATATATCCAACGATTCTTCTAGAAAACTCAACGCATCGGTTATACAGTCAAACATCACATGACTGTTTTCTATTTGACCCAACGCTAAATTAAGCATATACCAAAATCCGTCATAGTTCAAAACAATGTTAGCTCTCGGTTTTTTTACTGATTGTAATTTTGCTTTTTGGCGACACCTTCTAATACGGTTTACGTTACTCACACGTTTTGCATCACGTGAGCTTTCGTGTATAATAAACAGAATGAAGGATACATAATCTAATATGGCCTTCGCGTACACGCATTCCATCAATCGAGCCGTCATCGAGTATTTATCGTAGACATTTTCGTCGGTCACGTAGAAGCTATCGGGTTCTTCGATGGGTACAAACAGATCAATGCCGGAAAATGAATTTTTAGAGCATTGGTGTTTGCCTTTGATATGGTTCATTAATCTCCATCCAGGATTGCTCAGTATGCCGTTGAGTCTAAAAATTAGATCTTCATTGTCGTTACATGATATGAACATTTTCCAATTATTGATTATTAACAACATCATAAAGCAACTTGGCACACCGTAAAACATTTTATTCAAATGCTATTGTGTTTTCCTTTTTCAGTTTAGTCATAAACGTACGTTGCCTAAAACTACGTATGGTTGCTGTACATTCCCTATTTGTATAGCACGCAAACATAGTTTGAACGTAAATCGCAAATAAATGCAAGTTTGCCTAAAGTAAACTAAAATTAACTGTGTATTTTATTAGGTACCCTAATTTAATTGATGGCTTACTTTATTGTTATTACATGAGTTTTTTTTTCTTGGCGATAACTATACTAAAACCTTTATAATTGACTTTATTATTTCTTGGTCTTCAATAAAAAAAACAACTAAGTTTAGTTTTAACCCTACGTTAACTTAAACTACTTAAGTTGGCTGCCCATTCCCTGTTTGTATATCAAGCAAACAAGGTTTGGACGTAAATCGCAAACAAATGCATGTATACCTTAAGTAAACTGAATATACTGTGTATTTCATTGCCATTATTTATTTGATGAGTAATACTTTTTAGGATTGGTTCGAATAACAAAGTAGGTTTTTAGTTTTACATTATGTTAAAACATTTTCAGTATTTTAAAGTCTTTGATTTAAAGTGTGCTGTTAACATTTAATATCCAATACTATTATTCGAATCATAATAAATTTGTATAATTTAATAAAACCCGATAAAAATATACGAATTTGGTGGCCAATGACCTAAAATCAAAACTGGAAAAAATAAAAATGGAAAACTGTCGGAAAAACTTGCAACAACATTTTTTTTATTTTATATTATATTTTAGTGGGTATCACATAATTTTGTTATTCATGTTATATTTATATGTAGATTGTCTTAATAATCTAATACTGCGGTTTTCTATTGAAAATGTTGTCAACTTTATTATTGTTATTATCGGCTTGTATGCAGCTCCTACGAACTGTCACAATGACATCATTATGACATATTTTTTACAGAGCACTAGTGCCGTCCAATAGACGAAGGCGTCCAACCATACAATAAGCTGTGATGCGGAGAGCCGTTGAGTGGTTGCCCAAGCACGCGCATTTTAATTCAAACTTTTAATTTGCGGCGTAAACCGGTATTCGCACCAAAGCTAAAAAAAATTACTATTTAAATAAATTATAAGTGGCATGGTGTTGCGCTGTGGATACCCCAGCTGTTGCGTGGTACCTGAGTTTAAGCTGTATCGGTGGCACCTTTATCGCGGATGCTTAATCCCGACCACACGTGTTACCACAAACGCAAACCCAACCCAACCTAAAAAAAACCAATACAAACAAATCAACAAACAGCTAATGACCTAAGTTGCCGTAACTTGTATAAAATAAAATAAAAATAAGTAAATAAATAATAGCATTGAAATACAGATTTCTCTTCAGTTTACTTAAGTGGCCTCCACACTAGCTTTTAGGCAACTTATCACTAAAACCTAACATTAAGCTTTTAAATATATTACAATACAAATTACCATAAGAAGGAAAGATCTATTTTGATGTTTAATTTTTGTAACGCATGTAGGATCTATTGTTGTACAAAAACATATATGTATACTTCGAAAGTACTGTTTCTAAGAATACTTGAAGGTTTGAAACAACATTTGAACTCTTCCTAACATTTTCAACGCATCGATCTTGCTATTTTAAACTTCAACAAAATAAATAACTTTAAATTTAATTATGGCACTATTAATGCCTAGATAATGTTCTGAAGAACTCAAAATATTTGTTCAAAGTTTAAATCGAAGTATTTTTTAAGAACAGTACTTTTGAAATAAAGCGAGTTGATTTCGACCAAAAACACGCAGTTGTAGAGGCCCTTAAGGTAAACATACATATTTTGTTTGCGATAAACGTTTGAATTATGTTTGTATCATTTACAAATAGTAGTCCTAAGTAGTTTCAGTTAACGTACGATTACAACAAAACATGGTTGTTAATTTTATACTTAAAAAAGGAATATTACAGTAGTATTTGAATAAAATGTTTTACAGTTTGTCAAAAAGCTTTATGATTTTATTATTACCCCATTGATTTTGTATCAAACATTTCATTATTTTATTACTATGTTCAAATTAGGATATATTTTAATAATGATTAAAAACCATGAATGATAATACTTTATACTATGACTAGATCAAATCTCGTGAAAATTTAACTTTGTGATACTACACTATTATTAAAAAACACAAATTTTAAAATCTCCATCTAAGTAAAATTGATCAAATATCACAATAATTTAGTTTAAAAAAACCCGAAAGTCACCCAGAGTTATCCGGAGAATGTCTCCGTAAACGAAATACGTAAGTGGCAGGCTGAAGACAAAGAAATTTCCGAGTGCATTCGGAAAATACAGAGCCCGAACCCAGTATTTCGCCGCCGACACAAGTATTATCATGTGCAAGATGGTATACTTATGAAAGGCCCGGAGAACTCCGAAGAAAAGGACTACGCGATAGTGAAACCGGCTGAAATGGCTGATCATCTTTTGTGAAGGTATCATAACCATGAAATAGCCGGACACCCGGGTTGGAAAGAAACCTATAGAGCGTTGGGCAAATGTTTCTATTGGTCCAACATTCGCGATACAGTCCGTCAATACGTCGCGAGGTGTCACATTTGCGCATGTGTAAAACCTCTTAATCGGAAACCGGAAGACCCGATGCGATCAAGACAACCTCGCCAAGCATGGGAGGTTATTAGTATTGACTTGATGGGTCCGTACCCAAGAACACAGCGTGGCAAAACGTGCATATTAGTTGCCACGGACTGTTACAGTCGGTGGGTGGAGGCGTATCCACTAGGTCAAACAACCACCAAGACCATCACCGATACACTGGAAAGGGAGTTCTTCCCACGCTTCGGTTACCCGAGGGCACTTCTATCGGACAATGGTCCCCAGTTTGTATCCAAACAAACGGAGAAAGCACTGGAGAAGTGGGGTACTGAAGGATGGACTACTCCAATTTATCACCCACTAGCCAACCCGAAGGACGTCGGAACCAAGACCTGAAGAAAGGGTTACGCACAGCACTAGTAGATCGCCCCCACATCCAATGGGACAGCTGTATACCAGCAATACTCTTCGCAGTGCGTAACCGAAAGAACCGGCTTACTGGTAATACTCCCTCAGCGATGGCGCTTGGTCGAGAGGCGAAAGCGCCGGAAGATTGGCTTTTGGATATTGTCTCCACGGGTGTAGACCCGACAAAAACCAAAGAACCCGAGCAGGGTCCGGAGACAAGTGCCCGAAGGGAGTTCCCCGACGGAACAAACCGAATGAAAGCCCGATCCATCACCGGAAGTCCGGAGAACTCCGAAGGCTCCGGTGGGGAATCACCGGTAACCGGAGTTAATTTCCGATCACCCGGTGAGGAAATCGTTCTTTCCGAGGGAGGGGGGGAGGAAACCCCTCCGGTAAAGTCGGGGAATTAACCGGTAAAAAGGGGTGATTTGTATATAATAATTAGAATACATTAGAATAAGTTGTCCTTAGGATTTCTGTTGAAAAACAATTTTATTTTATAAGAACACGTTGACTGAAATTTTCTTCAGTACCGTCAGCGTTATATTGCCAAATTCCGTCAGGCATGATTTTGTATTTGGTTTCACTTTTGTCTAGAGCTGTTAGTATACAAGTTCCATCTTCAACTATAGCAGATTCTATAAATGGTAAATGACGTAATTCGTTATATAAGTTCATGCGTAATCCAAATAAACGACACTTCTCTGGAAAACCTAATAAATAATTCAAGTCGGAAACTCCTCCTTAAAAAAAAAAAAAAAAAAATTAGAAAACACTGCCAAACATCCAAAAAAAAAACTAAAGGCCGTAATTTTAAAAATAATTCACTTTATTAGAAACTTTAACAAGGAAGCTTTTATACTAAAAAATATATTATTTTGTAATTGAAGAGGATCACTGTTGTCGATTGTGAATTGTGTATAAGTTAGCGAAGAATAAATGTTATAAATGTAAGAACTTCTAATTTGGTAATAACATTGATAATAAAAAAAATTGGTTAAAATTGAATTGGCATTAAAGCCAGAAAAGTCCAACAATGAAAGAACACGAACTAAACTGAAAAGACAAAGTCTAATCATAATGTTACTACTACTAGTGAATGATGTCAGGGAAAAGAGTTGTTAACCACTCATGTTGTGAAGGCTTTATACTACTGTTTTTAGATAAAATCTAAATTCTCCGATCTTCGGTTAAAAATGAATGACTGTAAATATATATAGATATATATTTACAAGGTGTTTCACAATGATTCGACAAGTAAAATAACTTTTGTTCTAATAAACGTTTTTAAGATTTTATTTTTATACTAATTTATAATCATTTGCGCTATAAGCATCGCGGTTTTATTGTACTTAACATTCTACTTTTTAAATTTTATTTTTATTTTTTTCATTAAGTTTAAGATAGCGTTTTTAATAATAATTTCCTGAAAATGTTGACTGGTCCATAAGATTTGGATAATTACTTTTTAAGTTACTAAAGTTATAAAGGGTATGATGGGAGGTGGAGTGCAGTACTTTACTACAGATGGTCGCAGATAAAAATATCTCTACACGCTTAAAATCTTAAAAATATTCATTAGAACAAAAGTTATTTAATTTGTCGAATCACTGTGAAATACCAAGTATATATTAATTATGATTTTTGCTATAATATAGTATTTGAATAATTCAACAAAACTAGGACGATTATTGTACAACAATCGGTACGTAAATACAATTTTACAAATTTTTACATGAATATTTACCTATTACAACTGCATGGATTAAGTCTACTACAGCTGGGAATAATAAAGATCTTCTGTTTAGTCCCAACGTTTTCAGATCAACAGATCTTAATTTTTCTTTGTAACAAAAAAAAAAAACAAGTAATTAGCTGCGCGTGATAAAATTACACTTTATAATAAAGACCTTTATTTTTGCGAGTGTTTGTCTAACCTAAAATTAGTACAGATTTTTTACTTAAGTCCCAAATGCTTAAAGAACTTAGAGTATTTTGATAATTTTTAATACATTTTTATACCGCTATTGCAAATCATAAATGATAACTAATCTAAAATATTGTCATATTAAACCCTTTCCCTTAAAACTTTATTTTTATTTCCCTTTTATGAGTGTAGTTATAAGGACTCATAATTTTAAAACAAAATTGTGGCAACAGAGGGTTAAGGTATGCAGACTAACCCACAGCAAAGTTTAGTGTTCGCCTTTGTTGTGTTGAACTTGTACACTACCAATTCACCTAGCTATAAATAAGAAAATGTAATATTTGATTGTGATTACCTTCGTTTATTGAAAGGTTAGAGCACATTTTACCTATAACCAAAATATAAATAAATTACATTGTTAAAAAAACAAGTTTTTAATATTTTCAGCCGTGCGATTTTTCAAGGGTAAGACAATCAGTAACAAAGTTAAACTCCAATGTAGCTTTCTAAATCCAAATTTTAAGATTTTCGGTTGTATTTACCTAGTACAGTTTCTATTTCCTGTTGCACTTTTTTCTGGTACCATAACTTTTCTAAAACAAAGTATAATTAGATGTATATCTTCCATTGCAATAGACATCAATATGCAAGTATATGATTGTTTCATTACATTATATGAATAATATATTATCTCAAATAAAATAATTCACTACTAAAAATTTACTTTGCTTTATGTGTAAGACTTTTGGTTTTTCTGAAATTAAAATAAAAAAACGTTTTATACATAATGAGTATCAAAAATTATGAATGTATGGTTGAGATTACTTGTATTGCTTGCAAATGCTTTTGTACCTATAACCAAAATATAGAATATCAATAAATTATTTTGTTAGAAAAATCAGATTTTATTTTAATCTGCAGGGTGATTCATTAAAGGTAACACAATCGAAATATCATAATATAATTGCAGTTTTGTAATGTTTCTTTCTAAAACATTGTTGTTTGTTATTTTACAATAAAATAAAATTACTAATCGTTTACATTTGATGGTATTTCCTAGAACTCTATAAAATCTTAAAACTAAATACACAAACTTAATACAAAATTGAAATATTATGTAAAACTAGATAAACTAAAGTGTGTTCAACAAGAAAAACTACAAATTTGCAACTATTTTAAGATAAAATGATTGTCATATCATTAACGAATCACCCTGTATATTATTAATCCTATAATTGAGAAGACATATAAATCAATGTAGAATATTGTAAAGACTTCCAGTAGACATGTTGAGAACGAACAACGAAAACTTAAGCATACAATACATATTTTGACTTCGAATTTTAGTCAAATATGTATCATTTTTCTTAAGAAATATACAACAACAAAGTTTAATAATTATTCGTATAAGAAACTTAAATTTAATATTTACCTGTTTTACGCTTTATTTTTGATAGCAAATCTAATTCCATAAACAAAAATTTTAACAAAAATCATTCCTTATGATAGAAATTTATATAAAAGGCCTATGATTATTTTCAGTTCATATAAATAATTAACTATTCAAATTTTACCTTGATCTTTAAATACGACTTCTTGGTTTTCTGAAATTAAAATACAACCATTTTAAACTTTATAAATATCAAATCTTTGTAAATAATATGTTTCCATAGTTTGTTATGAATAATTTTATCCGGTTCTACCAACATTAATGCTACTTCCACTGAAATTAACATAAAATGAATGTATTATTGATGACATTACATTTAATTTTTAATTTTAATATAAAACTTAAGACAAAAATCAAGTATACTCGTATATATATTTTATAAATTTGGAGAAAAATATGATTGGATTTGTTATAGTAAATTGAGTAGAGATTATGGTTGTAAAATGGCTGAACTGAAGCAATTGTTTCGAGTCAAATAAAATACAATGATTAGAGTAGGTTAAAATTTGTGACATTAGCGTTCTTTGATAGAAATTTTTTGACATTTTCATGTCTTAGCTCTGGCACATGACCCTGGCAAATAACCGAAAAAAGCGATACCATAAAAGCGTTACCAAAAAAGAAATGGGGTTGATGATGAGGTTGGGGGTGGAAATGGGAATGGGGTTGGGGGTGAGAATTAGCCGGTGCATAACCGAAAAAAAGTGTTACCAAAAAAGCGTTACGCTGACACGCGCCGCAAGGTAACAAAAGCTACGAAGCGACGACGAAAGACAATTATCGGAATGACCATTTCGGATCTATTTCGAGTGTTAATCTGTTACGCTGTTATCTGATTTGAGATAAGAGATATGTTGTACGTTCAACGTTCAAATTAGAACTAAATAATAAATTCAATACAATTTAAGAGGTCGAATTGTTCAAGCCAGATTTTATGAAAACAATAAAATATTAGCCAGAAACTTGAGTGTACAAAATTTTGTAATCTCCTTGGCCTTATGCTGTAACTGGAAGCTCCATGGAATTTCACGAATTATTATTATAAATAGTAAATACATAATCATATACAACGTGGTTGCCACTTCCATGTACATTGTAACACGCAAACGACTAATAAAATCATTTTTTTTTTAATACCGCCATTATTAATGAATCACCCTGTATAGCAGTAATCTTATAATTGAGAATTTTTAGACAAATAAGTCAATGTAAAAACTTTTAGTAGACGTGTTTTAATTTTCGGTTTAAATTATGTTTTGATCTATCCACGAAAACTTAAGCAAAATATTTATAGACTTTGGATATCAATAAAATATTTATCATTTATTTTAAGAAATATTGAACAATAAAATTTAATAATTGTTCGTAAAAAAAGTTAAATTTAAAATTTACTTGTTTTAGGCTTTAGTTTTGATACCAAATTTTTCAATTGCAGACACTTATCTAAAATTTCAAACAAAAAAAATGTTAACATACATCATTCCTTATTATAGAAATCAATATAAAAGTCTACTATTATTCTCAATTCATATAAATTATTAATTACTAAATAATTACTAGTCTTTATGGCTACGTCGTCTTGTGTTTCTGGAATTAAAATAAAAACATTTTATACTTAATAGTTAATATCAAGTAACAATATTGAAATGATCACATGCAAAATTTGATGAATGTACATCATTCACTATAATAGAAATCAATGTGCTAATATATCGTTGTTCTCAATTCATATGAATAATTAACTACTAAACATTTACCACACTCTCTAGCTACGTCCTCTTGTGTTTCTGGAATTAAAATAAAAATATTTTGTACTCAATAGTTAATATCAATTAACTGTACTGTAGAGGAAATCGTTTGGTAAATATTTGTTTGATATTTATAGGCCTTACCATATCCAGTGACAAAAAAAAAAATGAATTTAAGGTACATGTATTTAATTATTTCGTGTTACCCTTACTTTTAACATACTTTAAATAAATAATTAACAACTGATAATTTAGTCATACATAATTCCTTATGATAGAAATCAATATTATAGACTATGATTATATTCAAATCATATGAATATTTAACTACTAAACCTTTACCACACTCTTTAGCTACGTCCTCTTGTGTTTCTGGAATTAAAATAAAATAATTTTGTGCTTAATAGTCAGTATCAAGTAACTATATTGAAATGATCACATGCAAAATTTGGTGAATGTATATCATTCACTATAGTAGAAATCAATGTACAAATAAATCATTATTCTCAATTCATATGGTCAAATAACTACTAAACATTTACCTTGCTCTATAAATACGACTTCTTGGTTTTCTGAAATTAAAATACAACCATTTTAAACTTAATGAATATCAAATCTTTGTAGGTATATTTTCATAATATGTTAAGAAAATTATTACCCGGTTCTACCAACATTAATGCTACTTCCACTGAAATTAACATAAAATGAATGTATTATTGATGACATTACATTTAATTTTTAATTTTAATATAAAACTTAAGACAAAAATCAAGTATACTCGTATATATATTTTATAAATTTGGAGAAAAATATGATTGGATTTGTTATAGTAAATTGAGTAGAGATTATGGTTGTAAAATGGCTGAACTGAAGCAATTGTTTCGAGTCAAATAAAATACAATGATTAGAGTAGGTTAAAATTTGTGACATTAGCGTTCTTTGATAGAAATTTTTTGACATTTTCATGTCTTAGCTCTGGCACATGACCCTGGCAAATAACCGAAAAAAGCGATACCATAAAAGCGTTACCAAAAAAGAAATGGGGTTGATGATGAGGTTGGGGGTGGAAATGGGAATGGGGTTGGGGGTGAGAATTAGCCGGTGCATAACCGAAAAAAAGTGTTACCAAAAAAGCGTTACGCTGACACGCGCCGCAAGGTAACAAAAGCTACGAAGCGACGACGAAAGACAATTATCGGAATGACCATTTCGGATCTATTTCGAGTGTTAATCTGTTACGCTGTTATCTGATTTGAGATAAGAGATATGTTGTACGTTCAACGTTCAAATTAGAACTAAATAATAAATTCAATACAATTTAAGAGGTCGAATTGTTCAAGCCAGATTTTATGAAAACAATAAAATATTAGCCAGAAACTTGAGTGTACAAAATTTTGTAATCTCCTTGGCCTTATGCTGTAACTGGAAGCTCCATGGAATTTCACGAATTATTATTATAAATAGTAAATACATAATCATATACAACGTGGTTGCCACTTCCATGTACATTGTAACACGCAAACGACTAATAAAATCATTTTTTTTTTAATACCGCCAGGATTCAACCATCACCTACAGCGTCCAACCAGTTCCGACGTCTCGCTCTCTTACTCGTATAAATTCGCAACGACATTACTGTATCACGCATATTAATTTTATGTATTTTATACAATATAAAAACTACTTTCTTTCGCCACTTGTACTTTGAAATTTTTTTGGAACCTTTCGACTTGTGTGACTCGTTAACTAACCTAACCTATTTATCCTGAAATTTATTCGGTACTTCAACGCGACATGAAAATGTTCTATCGTGTTTGCAGACTCGGCTGAAATAGGAATGTTTTTTTATTGATTTTAAAGTGAAATTTAAGATTTTAAAAATCATATGTTTAATTTTTAAATATTTTCTTCTAATATCATACTTTATCATTATTATTATATTATTATTTTTTTACAATATTATGATTACCCATCGTATAGTCTCCAAGAACAATGTTTTTCAATACTGTCATCAAACCAACTAAAATTAACAAAAATAAGTTGAGCAATAAATAAAAAAAGGCTGGAAAACACTTAACGCATTACTTAGGTTTATAGATAATTAAAAAAAATTGATGTTTTTAAAAAAAAAATTGGGAGTAATTTCTAGTTGAAGAAGAAAATGTTTTTTTGAGTATCAATATATATGTTTTGATTTACATCAATTAAGTATATAAAACTCTGGTTTCAATCACAATTTAATACTTTACACCTCATTCATTTTTAATCTAAACCGTTTATAGAAAATATAATATTTAATTCAAAAGTCATTTGATAGTTAGACAAAAATATCAAAAACATTGTGTTTTATTATTTAAATTTTAAATATATTTTACCTTCATTGGTCAGAGAAAACATATTGTTTACGGGATCAGCGCAATGGATATATTGGTCTGGAATAAATTGTATATATTATATATAATGCTAGACTTAAAAAATTATTAAAAAAAAAATGTTTGCTTACTGGTTAGGTAAACCTGCCTTTTATATATTTCATCTGTAAAAAAAAAAGATAAATGTTGAGTTTTTTTTTTTATAGTTTGTGTAGTAAAAAATGAAATAATCACCTTTATGTTTAGCTACCAAAACATTTACCAAAGCAAACGATATTAATATACGTAAAAGACTCATTTTTATCTGCAAATATTTTAATAATTATTCAATAATTTTATGTTAATACAGTGACCAAAAAAAAAAAAAATTCAAAGTATCCACACTACAAGCGGATACGTCTTAGGCACATGTGTATGTCTTATGACCGAGTAAATGTTAATTTAAGATTTCCTACATTTCTAATTTTCTGATTTTTTAAATTTTTTTGTTGGCCAAAAGTTTTTTTAGTAGTTTTTTAATATTTGGCCTTGATTGATTTATTAGCAACATTCACTTGGTTAGTTATTTTAAATCAATTTAACCATTCATTCAAGTTAACTGGGCGGATAATATAGTAATAGAATATTTAGACAATATACAGTTAATATAGTTTTACATGCATTAGTCGAACAACTTATAACAACTCCTTTTTCTTGAATAGTTTTTTATATCAATTGTTGAGGGTACCTAAAACTATTGTGTGTGTGTATTATGCAGGACATTTCTAAAACATCTATTAACCAACTGTACTATCTTTTGTAATCCCAAAAATTAAAAATTCGCAGATTTTATGTTTCAAGTATAGGATTCTTTTTTTTTTGTAAATATAATTTCTTGTTGCTATGTTTTTTCTCGATATATATTTGTTACCTTAGTAAATATTCGCTATAAAAGCGGATTGTTTATATAGTTTGCTTTCTTACATATATTAGTGTTGTGTTTGATATTTTGAGAAAATTATTATTTTTATTTCACCGCTATTTTAGACATGCTATTTGCTTAAAACCACGGTCACAGTGATGAATTGGACTCTTGAAATAAACTTATTGAAACGGGATGTATTTGTTAAGCTAGCAGTTAACCTCTACGAAGTGCAGATACAACTTGGGTTCATTCGATTGTCAGGTAAGATTTTTGTTGTTGCCAAGCCGATAGTAACAGTTTTATAAATATTTGATAATAAAAATATATTAATAAATGTATACCTCTATTATCTTTTATCTCTCATATCTTATCCTGTCGAACTATTTAAAATTGTTTTTTTAACACTTGTAGATACACTTCTTAATAGAACCAGTCGACAAAAACTGTAAAATCTAAACGTCTTGTGCAAAGTTGTCTATATCATTTCTGATATAATATCTACCAGTACATTAATGATTTTGGCATATCAATTAAACGTTAACGCTAGTCTACACATAAAAATACAAAAATTAAATAATTCTAACAAAAAATATATTAAAGGCGTACTTACAGCGCTTGATATTATGTTGAACGAAACAAACTAAACGTAATATACAAAGTTGCCTATGAAAATATCTTTAACTTAAACGGGATTGCGTTTTTCGATATACTTCCTTATTTACATTACTTTGACGAGGAGTTATTACTTCTGTTGTTGTAAACAATCAGTTGCAAACATATTTTCTTATATTGACACAAAGAGTACATTACCACAATGTACGATTGCGGAAATTATTTTATATTTTACGTTTTAATATATTGTTTTTTTATATTATGTACGAGAAACATATTATAAGAAATTAAATGCAGTGAACTAAATCCCAACAACATGTGGTCGCTTTCTATGGCTAACACTACAAGACCCGTTGAAACATTATAAGGGCGCATCTTACCGAATGATTCCCTTAAAAAGACATTCAATAATCAATAAACATACAAACAATGCCGAATTAAATTTTACCGGTTACATAATATTTAGATGTGACAGAAATCTGAACACTTGTATTCGCTCCCGTGTGTTCTAATCGCCGTTAAGGAATCTCTTAATCCAATGCTTGTTTCCACTGGTGTTTTAAATGTTGAACAACTATTTATTCGGGTTTCCATTCATATATTCCCCCCTCTTCCAAGAAATCATTATATGATAGTTACGTAAATTCCTTCAACATTGCCTGGGAATTAGCAAACTGTGAACTTGGTATATTTTGTGGGGACTTCAACCTTCCAGGAGTGTCTTGGAGTACCGTTAACCAAGTTCTAGTATACAACGGTACGTTCAACAACTAGTCTCCTCTTTTATGAAAATAAGAGTCTCTACAAAATGGCTTTAGTAATATTTTTAGAAAACATTTTTGGGAAAATAAAAACCTATACTAATAAAATATAAACAAATAATTTGGACGATCGTCTCCTGATAGTTTAGTTTTAGGAAGGCTAAGACCACAAGGCATATTTATGTTCCAATGTGTTTTCTTCGAAGGAAAGAGGGTATTTGTTTTTTTTTTTGTAAGTTCATTTTAAATTTACGCCGAGTATTTAAGCTACCGGAGTTAATACATAGACCGTGTTTAAAGCAACGAAACAAAATCCCCCTTGGCAACATTCAGAGGCCTCCTGTGACACCTGTGTATTTTCTATTGAAAAACACTTTTTGCAATTGCGTACAAAGGTAACGTTTTTACTCATTATTAGGTGATTGTCCATTTGCCAATCCGTCGTTAAATACACAATGTATAATGTATCTGTTACATTTTTTTTTATTATTGCCTTTAAATAAACATTATCCCTTATAACATTATTTCGTCCGAGTATGTTTTTTTTATTGTGTTTGTGTAAGTACTTGTTATAATAGTTTAGAAAAAATCTAAGGTTTTACTAGTAATACGTCGTAAGTTGACATTATTTTCGAATCAGATATATTTTTTTAGGATTTGTATTAACAGATGTGTTGCTATGTTTTTTTTTTCAACTGCTATATCGTTGGATTATTCGTAAAAGAAAATGTATTTAACTTTTCATAAACCCCGTGTAAAATATACAGAAAATGACTATGTGTTCCTATGACAATTTTTTATGACATCTGGGACTACGCTTAGTTATATTATTTTAAACGTGTGACAAAAAAAATCTCGCATTGAAAAAAAAAAGTCTTATAACGAATGTAAGAAAACAAAATGTAATATATAATTTGAGATCCGGTATTTTTATTCAAAAGATCAGATTTGTTCATTTTTTGAAACTCTCGAAAATGTAAATCGTAATGAAATGATATTTGTCCTATAAAAATATTTTAAACCGGATAAAAATTCGTTATTTCTGTTTTTGAGCACTCTACTAACCTGCATAGTAAATTTAATAAATGTATTTCAACATTTGATAACCTTTTTAACACTATTTTAGTACTATTCGACCAAACTATATTATGCAAATCATTCCTACTAATTAGGTTATCAACATTTTTAGGTCAACCTACTTTTTGGGTAAATTGTGCATTTGCCAATCTGACGTCTGACGTCAAATAAATATAATAACAACGCAACAGTTTAGAAAATCTAAGGTTATACTAGTAATAAATCATAAGCTGACAATATTCTGCGATCAGACATAGTATTATACAAGATTCGAATACATAGATGACCTAACATATACATATTTTTTCAGATTAATCAATTTGTTCATTATCTAAAACTTTTTTCGTAATTTTTCAGTTGTCTCAAAACACAGTAGCCCATACACTTTAGATTTAATTCCGTATTGTCTAAAAGGGGATAACAGAAATAACCCGATACAATAAAAGTGTGTTGAAATAATGAGAGACACTGAAATGACTGTGGAAAAATGGAGTTATAAAAACTAAAATAGATTATTTAATTAATTAGAAACAATTACATTTAGGTACTAAATAGTTTAATCAGCATATTAATACTTATTATTACATATTCTTTGACAAAAAAAAAAAAAAAACATACAATTTTATTTTTGTAGTTAGACGCATTAAAACGCAATATTTTAGTAGTTATAATTAATAAATGAGTTCAAAGATTTCAATATTTCAAATACCATTTTTATGATTATTATTAATCATTTGTTTGATTTATTAAGTACGCTATCAAGAACTCCGCAACGTTTATTTTTTTTTTAAATTTGTTTAATGCTGCTGGCACTTTGAAGAAACAATCTTTATAACGAATCGTTTTTGAATCTTCTTTGAGTAATTCTTTCAGGAACGTTTTCGCTTCGTTATCAGAGAGCAGACCGCTATTGTCCATGTCACGATTTTTGAAACCAGATATCAATTCTCTGACTTTTTGTGTACTTAACACAACCTCCTGAATAGAAAAAGTAAAATTGTAGATGGCGTAACGAAAAATAATTTTAAATCTAAAAAACTCTAGTTATTTTATTCTATATTTCTTTCTAAATAAGCTGTAAGGATCACAGGACCCCCGTCAAAAGCTGTGCTTAGAATTTAGATTTTAGAATATGTGAATCATACGGTTACTATGGTTATCGCGGTTACCATGGTATTCGTATTTGTGTTTAAAGTACAAAATTTGTGTTTAATGCTATCTTTAGGGGTGGAATCTTCAAAAAGTACCATGCCAGAAACCTTCACGGGAGTGTCTCAACAACTTCCCAAAGTTTCACGGTGATCGGATGAATGGTGTAGTAATGCGTAAAAGACAAACATACATACATATGCCCAAGTTATGGTTTTTCTTCGTTGACCCCCAGCGCACAAGCGTCCCATAAGAAGCATGGCTTAAAAAATGTACATTTTAGTTTGGTGTGTCTGGGCAAGTTTAGCTTTGTGTTATTATATTATTCTAGAAATATATTTATATCATTCATTTTTAAAGAGGAGCATCTCTAACAAATGCAAAAAAAAAACTCACTGAATGAATACACGTTAAATTACACTAAGCTCGTTATTTCCAAATTCAATTACAAGGAGATCTTTTACAATGAATCAAACATTTATTGTTTAATTAATAAACCTCTGACTATGTCGATGACGCGAAATCGTAACAAAATTTCCACCCCAGCCAAATATTTTATTCGTGTTAAAAATAAATTACATTACGTCATTTTTGTGAACTATCTTAGAACGCTCTGCCGCAATGATCATCAACTCCATCAACTCTATAGCAGCGGGTCCTGTGCAAGTTTCAATTATATATTATTGTATAAGAATTAAGAGCATATCGAACGTGAATATATTTATATTTTATTCTTACGGCAAGATTTAAATAACTCTTCTTGCGGCCTGGTACACATATTAAACAAATTGAAGAAATTTCGAGTATGCTCAGGACCAATGCTACCGGTTCTAGTTTTAGGTAATGTATACAATTTAATGAACTTATTTATTTGATATTGGCTTAGACCATTGCCCTAAAATGTAAGCAAACACGATGAATATAAGTAAGCTGTAATCAACGCATTTTATATTTTAAGCGTTTGTATAATATTTAGCGATTTATGAATTTCTATTTTTTAATGATTCTTTAACTGTTAGAACAACATTTTCAAATTTAATTTTTCACCCAGAACAATATATATGGTCAATTTTCAACAACTACAAACTACTGTCTTCTTTTTTTTTATTCATTTTTATTTGAAAATCCTGATTTTAAAAGTCCTAACTAGGTATTCCAATTTATTATATAATGGTTTTCGTTCGTTCTTCAATATATGGTTTCCATTTAATGTCCCTAGGGATACTGTTTTACGTTGCACAAATAATTGCTTACTTCCGGTAAAATTTTTAACATGATAAACAAGAATTCCTCTGGAGTAACTGTAACTCCACCTAATATTAAATAAATTAAGATTGTTAATTTGATGTAAACCGCTACGTTGACCTAAATTTAACATCACCATTTTTTGATAAAGTGATTAATTGTTAAGCTTTTAACATTTCGTCTCCTTGAATATTTAAATCTTCAAATAAACTTAATAGTTGTTCACGATTAAGATATCCATGTTGTCCGGTGTCTTCGGTGCGTTTAAAGAACTTTTTAACGTAAAACTCTACTTCAATCGCCATCAGCGTTGGCTCCTAAGTACAATATTAAACATACTAGCAATAATATAATTTCAATATTATAATATTTCATAATAGTTGTTATGGTTTAAAGTTAAATTAGATTTTTTATGAACAAATACCTCGAAGTTGTCAATTGTTCCTGCATGCGCTAACGCCATAAGTGACCGCATAGCATTTATATAATAAGTTTCGTCTATATAAATAAAATAATATGCAATTAGTGTTTATTAACAAATATAATAGTTTTCAACAAAGCTTGACAATTTTATGATTTATATATTACATTAAATTAAATTATGTATACTTAACATGTATAACTTAATATCATACTTCAACACAAATGATAGTTACAATTATACAAAAAAGTTCACATGACAATTTATTATAGTGTTAGTAGCAAGAACTTGGTCGGCTATAGTCGGAGTTAATAGTATATAACTAACCAATTATAAACCTATTAAAGCAATAACGCAACATTAATTATTGTCTATAGATGTAATTACTAAAATAGCTATTTAAATAATATATTACTTGGCTTGTATTGAAAAAATTCTTCCAGATTTTTAATACCGAAATCTTGCTTCATAAAGTTTGGGATATCCTCCCTATTTTTGTATACTTCAATACATTTTTCTATTTGACCACTATTTAGCCCAGTGCTCTAAAATAAAATATAATGACTTATAGTTTAACACTCATTAGTGAGACACTCATTTGCTGGGGAAATTATTTCAATATTATAGTTTTACTTTTAAAAAAAAAACTTTTATTTAAAATAGTATAAAGTTACCAAATATTTAGTTTGATAATTTTATACTATTGTAAAGAAATGTTTTTTTAACGTTTGAAATTGCATAAAAAGAAAAAAGTTAAAAATGCACTTGCATTTAAAAAAAAAGGGCATTCTATTGACCGTAATAAAATAATACACACTTATTAGAACAAGTTAAAGAAAAAAAAATTAGAATGTATCTAATTTTTATGAAATTTTAAGATTTTTACTATGAGGGCATTGTAATATCTTTTTGGATACAAGCAATAAATGCGGTGTATAAATCATAGTATCTTTATTGATACTTTATCAGGCTTTTTTTTAATATTAACTCAATATATTTTGGTTTTAAACTGTATATAAAATGTGCTTAAAAACATTCCAGGGGGAAACACGAAAACACGGTTTATAAATCACAAAACGTTTTCACCAAAAATGCGTTGGTCTATAATCTGTAATGGACGATCGAAAATTATATTTTTTCACTTTTTATTAAAAAACATCAAAATTGGTAATATTATAATATTATATTAAATGGATAATTTTGTATTTGTATACAAAACATTTAAACGCAATATTTAATTATTATAATTAATAAATAAATTTAAACATTTTAATACTTATTACTACAAATATTGTTGTTATGATAATTACACATTTTTTATATTTTTTGCAGATCAATAAGATTTCCGCAACGTTTACTTTTTGTTTAAAAAAGCTTAATATTGAAGAAAATTTGGGGAAAAAGCCATCGAAAAAAACTTTTATTGAATCTTGTGGATTGTTAGTGAGTAATCCTTCCGGGAACTGTTTCGCTTCGTCATCAGAGAGCAGACCGTCGTGATCCGTGTCAAGTTTTTTGAAATGAGATATCAGTATTCTGACCTCTTGTGTACTTAACACAGTCTCCTAAAGAATCGTTAAGTAAAATTATGTAAAGCTTAACGAATAATTTAATAATTGCGAAGTATAGCATGACAGCAAAGGAATTTTAAATCGATAAACAATAAATTATATTACATTTTTGTGAACTGTCTTAGAACGTTCTGCCGTAATGATCATCAGCTCCATCAACACTATAGCAGCGGGTCCTGTGCAAGTTTCAATTATATTTTATAAAAGAAATTAGAATCTATTAAACGTGAATATTATTATTTTAATGAATATTTATATTTTATACTTACGGTTAGATTTAAATAGCAGTAGGTCTTTATTCGACTCAGTAGCCATACCAAACTCTATGAGGATTTCTTGAATTTTTAAACGATCAATGCAAGCAGTATCAGTTTTATACAATTTATTTAAATCTTCTATTTGTGATTGGTTAAGACCATTGCCCTATGATGTAAGCGAAAAGAATAAATATGATAAAGACACAAGTATAAAAAGTATAAAGTTAATTTTAAAAAACTACAAATAATAGGGTCTTTTTTTAGTTTTTAAATCCTGGTTTAAAAAGTCCTATCCGGGTATTCCACTACTTATTACACAATGACTTTTCGTTCGTTCTTCTATTCGGTTTCCATTTAATATCCCTAGGGATGCTATTTTTCGTTGCACAAATATTTACTTACTTCCGGTAGAATATGCAACATTATCAACAATAATTCCGCTGCGGAACACAAACCTACACCTAAAATTATATAAATGAAGATTATTCACTTTCAGTTAACCGCTTCCTTGACCTAAATTTAATATTACCTTTATCACTAACTTGAGACCAAGGAACTAACTTTACGGCCTCTGTCTTTTCTTTCCCATTTATATTTAAGTCTTTAAATACATCTGATAGTTGATTACGATCAAGATATCCACGTTGTGGAATAAGTGCGGCCGCGGCGTGCTTATTGAACATTTTGAGGTATAACTCTACTTCGAAGGGCATCAACGTTGTATCCTAAGTTCAATAATAATGATTATTATTTCGCAATTATTCTTTACAAAATTATTTGATATATTTTAGTGTTAAAATATATATTTAAATCAATTACCTCGAATCTGGTAATTGTTCCATTATACGCAAGCACCAAAAATAAGTCCGTAAAATGTGTATGATAAGGCTCTTCTATATAAATTAAATAGTACACAATTAGTGTTTAAAAAAAAATATATAATGATTGTAAGTGTTACACTTTAGTATGAAATTAAAACACAATTCTATTTATATGAGTAATAATATTCGCTGACTTTTATTGTGAGACCAAAATTACAAAACTGACATGTTGTGCAAGTGTAGCACACGCGTATGGTGGACAATTACCACCACATATATATATTATATATATATTATAAACATAGAAACTGCTGATACGTAACAGTAAGTATTATATAATAGCAAATATAATAGTTTGTATATGTTGGTTTTAGTCACATGCCGGCCACTCAATGGCCACCTTGTGGACGTATGTATGGCCAGATACCAAAAAATCATGTTACATATCAATTCGACAAGATTTTTTCTCTCGATTTCAAATCTGAAATTATTTTTTTCGTAGAACAATTTTTTAATGAGATACGAGTTATATTTTAAATAGTTTTAATTAAAAAAAAATTAATATCCATTTATTGTACCCATAGAGCATCCTGAATGTCTCATTTGAAGCTCGGTAGAACTTTACGTTACACCCTGTATATACATAGAAACTGCTGATACGTAACAGTAAGTATTATATAATAACAAATACAATAGTTTTCAGCAAAGCTTGCATGTTTAATATGTATATAATACATTCAAATAAATGAGGTATGCTAAACATATGTAACTATAAAGACAGTTAAATAGTTACTTAATCGAACCAATTACTTCGACATGGCTGCTTTTTAATCTAACTTTATTATATTTTTAAAAATTGACCCTACCTTTTACACTTTTGTTTATCATTTTCAACCAAATTGATAATTTAAAAAATACATTGCAATTTTTTACACCGTTATTAGGAAGAACTTGATCTGTTATGTAATAATAAATAGTATCTATTGGTATAATAGAATAGAATTTTATATAAATTAAAATGAAATGCTGTCGGTAGTTAATCACTTGAGAACGGCTGGACTGATTTGGCTGATTTTTTCTTAATGTTTGTGATAGTCCAAATACAGTTTTAGTGAAAAGAAATATTGCAAACGTTGCCCGGAAAATTTTTTAATTAAAAATTTTAGTGAAAATTTATTCGAATAGATGGCGATTCGTGCGCAAATATCACAGCTGACGTATGGACTGCTTGACATACTGATATATTGCATAGCTCCCCCTCAAGACGAAGACAGGGCAACGCAACTAGTAATAGAATACAAATAACCGCTCTTAAACCAAATAAAACATTAAACGCAACGTTTATGGTCTACAGATGTAATGAATAAAATAGTTATTTAAATAATATCTTACTTGAGTCATATTTAAAAACTTCATTAGGGTATTCAATTCCAAATACGTTCCTCATAGTACGTGCAATAACACTTGCAATATTTTTTTCATCTCGATTTTTGTATAATTCAATACATTTTTTTATTTGATCCTCATGTAGTCCAGTGCTCTAAAATGAAGTATAATGACTTATAGTTTAACATTCGGGTGATCCATACATCGTAAGAAACTTATTTTCTAAAAAATGATTTAAATTATATAGTTTGAAAAAAATTATTATTGTGATATTGTAAAATTATCAAATATTTAACTTTTTTAATATTTTCCAAAATGGATAACATTTTATAACTTATGTGGTAACGTAAATATTTAATTCACTTATTAAATGAAAACTTTTAGCTCTGGTTGAGTAACTCTCACTGATAAAACTAACACTTCACTCTACCCTTCCTACCGTCCTAAATTTTAAAATTAAAAAGTAATTTGTCAAAACTCATAATCGACCGGTTAACAGTTTTAGCAAATTTTTGTTAAATTAAAAAGTTAATGAACTATATAAGTTATTTTTTAAAAGCTGAAGGTCATTATGTTTTAACGTATAATAGATTAGGATATAATATATAAGTTATACAATATTGTATAAGCCTACAATTATATGTATTTTAGGGAATGCATCTTACCCGTACAGATGTAAAGAAATACACCGCGCAGAGAATAACAGCACTTTTAAAATGCATAATAGTTTGTAAAATAATTGAAGTCAATGTAGTACGTGTAGCATAGAACGACTATTAGTGCTGAGGTTAAAATAATGTAGTAACAGTAAAATAAGTATATTTTTCGTGTCTTTTACAGTTTTATTTATTGACTCGTGATAAACTTTGTGAGTGACAAAATATCATAAAACCTATGTGTTTGCTATTTGATCGCAAACACGCAGTACATTTACTAGTAAAGTGGAAACGAAAGTGTATTTGCCAGACATACAAAATGGTACATATTTTTTTTTTGTATTACTGAACATTTTTTTTACACACGAAAACCACTGAAAAGTTAAACCTTTAATTATATATCTACTTTGAAGTTTATAAAAAAATACCGTACATTTTTTTCGATATAAAATGTATTTTATAAGCTACACTATGTGTTATACCGTTGGTATATTATGCCACGCTAAGAATTGTGTCAAACATATATTTTATAGGTAGGTTTGAATTGAAAAGCTATTCGTTTGCTTTTTAATACGAAATTGTTTTTGTGTTTTCTGTTGTGGTTGTTGTCGATGTACTCGTTCTCATTTGCGCAGATGTTTTGATTACGAAAATTTTGCACTGAAAAACAATTTATTTTTGGTCTAAATACTACTACTAGTTCTTATAACACTATGCATATTTTCGTATTAAAGTTACCACAGTATATTTTTTTCTTGGAAATTATTTTTTAATAAAATAAATATAAAACCAATTTAAGATGTAGTATATTTTGATTATGCAGTATACTTTATTTACAGCTACTTTAAGTTAAATTTTAATTCCAAAAACCATGACTAAAAAAACAAATAAAAATATTTTTCCTACACTCTTAGGAAAAAAAATAATTACTAATATTTTTTAAAACTAACATGCTTAATTTAATATAACAAACGTCAGCCCTAAGTTATCAAATTTAAATTTATTAATTATATTGTATACATTTTTTTTATTGAGCTTTTTTTTGTTAAGTCTTGAAGCCTTTTGTTCAGTATTTCGAAAGATTTTCTAGTTCATAAAGTAGGATATAAGGGGGAAGAATACTGGAATGTAATCAATCACCTAGTGCAGAATTAACAACTTTAAGGAGATTCTGAGTTCCTCAACTGTACTGACTCAGTAGAATAGTTATGATGGCTGTATGTTCGGCTATAGTAGAAATGAATTCTACTGTATTGATTCTGTCAGTATTCGATCGACTTTGGGATTATAGCTTCTGCTTGTTCCGAGAGATATTCTACTGTACTTGATCCAAATGAAGTGTTGCATTATATGTATGATGAACTACGGATTCCACTATATGAGTTTGGTCTTTAGCTAGTCGGAGAGTTTTTTCTTTGTCTTTCTGTAGGTCGTTTATTTTGTTGTAAAAATATTCAGCATCTTGATCAGACCATACTCCGAATAAGACGTTGGCTATTCTACCAACGAAATTTGCTAAATCCCTCTTCTGTCGAGAGTATTGAGTGGTGTGATTTTCTTCTAGATTCAACATAGAATGAAGTGTCATATGATTGAATTCTATTTCATTCAAAAAATGAAGAGTAATTTGAATGAATTGAGAACAGCTAGTAGCTATCCTCATGTTTTTTGAATTTTCTGATGCTTCTCGACAATGACGTAAGGTATGATTATAGTATCCCACAAGCATTGAATAACGATGATGATAAGCGGACAGATCCATATAAGAAACAAGTCGCCACGTAGTCTGAGAGATTCTGAGAGGACCGTAGGATTTATAATACAATCCTGATGTTTGATTGAATTCAGTGACGTTTATAAACGATTGGATATTGTCCTAACGACATTAATTAAAAAGATTAGATATTCTGTAACAAACGATAGAGGAAGTTTGTCATTATAGTCAGTTGTTATTCATGGAAAAGTTTAACCAGATTTTTATGAAGAGTTTGGCGTTTGCCATTTTTATTTATGACGATGTTAACAGACTCGGCGTTAGTGTCCAGTATTTCAAAAGGACATAACCAATTAGGAGCTAGTTTCCCTTTACTGGTTTTTTCCTGAACTAAGACTCTGTCACCTATGTGTAAAGTGGGAAGGAATTGGGATTGATGGTAGGAAGTTTTGGATTTTTGCTTCTTTTCTAACAATCTTTTTCTAACGAGGTTATGAGTTTCTTGCATGTTTTTCTTCAATTCAAATTAATAGTCTGTATATTTGTACCGAGGCTCTGGATCTCGGGTAAATGATGTTGGCACTTGAGCTTCATATCCGTAAAGAAGTTCATATGGCTGGAACCCTGAGGCGGAATGAGTCGTTGAGTTGTAGGTGAACATAGCAAATGGATCATATGAATCCCAGTTTAACTGGTCTTTACCGACGAAATGTCGAAGATATTCGCCTAAAGTCCTATGGCTTCTCTCGAGACTGCCATTGCTTTGTGGTCTTTAAGGAGTGGTAGATGTTTTCTTTATCTTCAGTAACCGACATGTTTCTTTGAAGACATCGCTAAGAAATTCTGTGCCACAATCAGTAACAAGGTTCTGAGGAATTCCGTGAAGACATATGAATTTGGTAACGAAATATGCCACAGTGTTAGCTTCATGATTTTCCATGGGGACAGCCCATGAAAATTTCGTGACGTCATCTTGTAATGTTAAGATACAAGCATTGTTGAGATGAGTACGGGGAAGCGGACCGACGACGTCCATAAAGACTTTTTCAAATTGCTTTGAGGATGTAGTGGTAATGACCATCGGGGCTTTAACATGGCGATTGCTAATTTTGTTTTTTTGGCACGAGCTACATTTCTTGATGAAGTCAGCCACGTCTTGATTCATACCGATACATAAGTGCTGTTTCTTCAATCGACGGATGGTTCGTGATATGCTTTGAAGACCACCTAATGGATTCAAGTGATATTCTTGGATGATCTGAAACTTCTCTTCTGTAGAATTACTCGTCCAGAGAAGAAAGAGTAATATGAATATTAGAGTCTATAAAAATATAATTGATAGATCGTACATTCATCCAGTCTAATCTATTGTAGCCACGTCCTATTTTAGGTAAAGCTAACTTTTCTAGTTGATGTAAATTACAGAACTTTCGAAGGTTTTTTAGAGCCTTGAAAACAGTATCGTAATTTGGTTTTTGCCAGAATTTTTCTTTAGTCAAGATGTCGAAAATAAATCGATTAGAATGTTTGAGGTAGGCGATTTCTAAGATATTTATATTCTGTTTCCTTAAGAAAGATAATCTTTCATATTTTTGACGAAATTCTAAAGCAATTCCTTTGGATAATTTAAAAATCTTTGGACACAATGTGCCAAATGATAGTCTGGATGTGCGTCGAATAGGTTTCCACTCACGTCTACTATATTTTTATGGAGTGTGGAGTAACGACTGAGATTATCTAACACGTGTTTACATTGAGATTCTGCTATATTTTCTGTGATTTCGGAATGTAGGGGATCATCTGGTTGCTCTGGAGTTAGTGAATTTATTGATTGTTCGGCAGTTTTTGAATTTATTGATTGTTCTGGAGTTTCTCGAATAACAGTTTGTGTTTCTATTTTCTCTTGGAACGGGTAGTTACCTGATAAATCCTGCTCAATGCGTCAGCATTGGTGTATTGTGTTCCTTTTTTATAATGTACTGTATACTGATATTCTTCGAGCTTTAATCTCCATTTGGTCAATCGTGATCCAGGACCTTTGAGATTAAATAACCACGTAAGGGCACGATGATCGGTGACGATGGTAAATTTCTGTCCAAAGAGATATGTACGAAATTGTTTTACACTCCATACAATACTAGTCAAAACGTTTCTAGGTGTGGGAAAGTCCTGAACGCATTTAATCTTACTTGGGTTAGGTTTCACCTAACCCATTCTGAGAGACATTCTCTCTCGCTCTCTCTCTCTCTCTTACTTTCTCTCTTCTTTTCTTTCTTTCTCTCTCTCTCTTTCTCTCTTTCTATCTTTCTTTCTCTCTTCCTTCTGACCAAAAGTAACTTTACATAGTTTAATACATAGAGAATTAAACTGTTTTGAATTTATTATTTAGTTCTAATTAGAACGTTGAACGTACATCATATCTCTTATCTCCTATTTCTTACCCCTATCACTCACCCCTATCTCCTGTCCACAACCCCAACCCTATCCCAACCCCGACCCTTATCTTCTACCCCTATTTCCCCCCCCCTTTTCTCCTACCCCTATTTCCACCTCCAATCCATCTTCGTGTGGTAACGCTCTTTTGGTAACGCTTTTTTTCGGTTATGTGCCATAGCTAATTCCACCCCGTTCCCATACCCACCTTTTTTTGTTACGCTCTTTTGGTAACGCTTTTATAGTAACGCTTTTTTCGGTTATGTACCAGAGCTAAGACATGAATATGACAAAAAGACGAAAGAACAAGAAAGAAGAAAGAAAGAAAGAGAGAGAGAATGAAAGAAAGAAAGAAAGACAGACAGAGAAAGAGAGAGAGAGAGAGAGAGAGAGAGAGAATGAAAGAAAGAAAGAAAGACAGACAGAGAGAGAGAGAGAGAGAGAGAGAATGAAAGAAAGAAAGAAAGACAGAGAGAGAGAGAGAATGAAAGAAAGAATGATTTTTCTTCTTTCGTCTTTTTAGAGAGAGAGAAGAAAGAAGAAGAAGAAGAAAGAGAAGAAAGAGAGCAGAAAGAAGAGAGAGAGAAAGAGAGAGAAAGAAAGAAAGAGAGTGAGAGAGAGAGAGAAAGAAAGTAAGGAAGAGGAGAGAGAGAGAGAGAGAGAAAGAGAGAGAGAGAATGAGAAAGAGAGAGAAAGAAAGAAAGAGAGAGAGAAAGAGAAAGAAAGGGAGAGAGCTTTCTCTCTCTCTCCGTCTCTTTCTTTCTTTCTTCCTTTCTCTTTCTCTCTCTCATTTTTTCTTCCTTTCTTTCTTTCACTCTCTCTTTGTTTCTCTCTCTCTTTTTTTCTCTCTCTTTCTTTCCTTCTTCCTTACTTTCTTCTCTCTCCTCTTCTTTTTCTTCTTTCTTTCTTCTTCTTCTTTCTTCTCCTTTCTTCTTTCTTTCTAAAAAGA